TTCATCTTTAGTACTTAAGAATAGAACCCAAGTATATCTGGAGTAGTCATCTACCAAGACAAATGCATATTGTTTTCCACCCAAGCTAGTAGTTCTAGATGGACCTAAAAGATCTAAATGGATCAATTGTAATACTCTACTAGTGGATATGTCATTAATGGATTTAAAATAAATTCGCTTTTGTTTTCCTTGAGCACAAGCATCACAGATTTTATCACTATCAAATTTTAGTTTAGGCAACCCTCGAACTAAATCTCCTTGAATTAATCATTGCAAAAACACTCATACTAGAATGTCCTAGTCTCCTATGCCATAACCAACTATCACGTTCATCCTTAGCAACTAGGCATAAATTAGTCATATCAAAAGAATCTAAATGCACCATGTATATATTTCCTATTCTATGACCAATAAGCATAATCCGATTAGATGCAATGCCAATAACTTTACAACAATTAATTTCAAACATGACATTGAATCCCTTATCACATAATTGACTAATACTCATTATGCTTTAATCTATTCACATATAAAAACATTTTTAATTTGTATGGAAGATGTATTACCTATTGTACCTATACCTTCAATGTGACCTTTTGAATTATCACCAAAAGTCACATCTCCTCTATTTTTGGCATTAAGCTCTATGAACCGACTCTTGTCTCTGGTCATGTGTCTTGAGCATCCACTATCAAGGTTCCATGAGTTTGAATTTATTTCCCGTGCCTTGTAACAATGCTCCTTTTCCTACAAACATAGATTAATTTTTTTATTTTTGGTACCCAAATTCTTTTGGGTCCATATTCATTAGTTTCCAAAATCCTAGTCCCCTTAGGTATCCATTTGTGTAGGATATCCTTATCTTTAGTAGTAATGAGTTCTTTAGGAACCCACATACTCCTAACGATTTTACCATTTAAGGTTCGTTGAGGATCTCTATGATTGTAGTTTCTAAAACTTTTTCTAACAAAATTGGATTTTGAATTCTCACCTTTTTCAAAACTTTTTGTTCCAACTTTATTAAAAGAAGTTTTAAGATCATCAATTTTCTTTTGATGATCATCATGAACTTTTGAAAGTAAGTGATGCAAATCATTATTTTTGTTTTCAAAATCATCAATTTTGATTTGTAATTCTTTAATCTTACTTTCAAGCTCCTTGTTGGTTTTGGACATAAGACTATTTTCATTTTTCAATTTTGAAATATCATTTTTGTATTTTGAAAATAGAGTCTTATAATCCGAAGCCAACCCTTTATAATCCTCTAATAACTTATCATAAGATAATTCATCTGAATCGAATGAGTTAGAGGTTACCTTAGAGTTTTACTCGATGGCCATCAAACACAAGTTGGCTACTTCTTATTCCTCTTCATCCGAATCACTCTCATCTTTTGTGGATTTGAGAGCAACTCCAACGTTCTTCTTCTTCTTCTTCTTCTCCTTTGGTGTCTCATCAATCTTATCAAGGTCTACCTCATCTTGAAGCATCATTTCATGAGTGAGGAGAGAACCAATTAGTTCTTCAAGGGTTAAGGACTTTAAGCTTAGCCTCGATGATTGTAGTCTTCTTTGATCACCACGATTTTGGAAGTGAGTAAACCAACTTCCTTACAAGCTTTTCATTTGGAATGATCTCTCTATATGATTTGAGACCATTGACAATCGTGGAAAATTTATCCGTCATAGCTTTGATATCTTCATCTGGTTTCATCCTGAAATTTTCATAGCTATGAGTTAGAAGACTAATTTTAGATTGTTTTACCTCGTCAGTGCCTTCATGAGTGACTTGTAGTTTATCCCATATTTCTTTGGCGGTTGTACAAGATGAAACTCTTTTATATTCATCTGGTCCAACAGCACAAAAAATAATATGGATGGCTTTGGAGTTGAGCTTAAACATTCTTGTCTCTCCTTCACTCCACAATCTTGGGTGAGTAGAAGGTTTGATGTATCCATATTCTATGACATTACATGCTCCCATGTCACTTGCTTGAATGAAGTATATCATTCTATTATTCCAATAAGCATAATTGGCTCCATTGAAGAAAGGAGGCTTGTTGACGGGCATTGAATCGAGAACGAAGTCGGAGTTTGAAGCGCCAGCTATTGATGACTTTAATATCGATGTAACTCTTCCTGAATCGACTCAAGAGGCGATTAAACCATCAAATGAGTGATTCTATGATACCAATTGTTGAGTTAATCGATCGACGAATATAGCCAAGAGGGGGTGAATTGGCAATTAAAATTTCGGTAGAAGCTTTTGCAGAAAATTGAAAATATTTGCACAGCGATTTATAGTGGTTCGACTTTCTCAACCAAAGTCTACGTCCACTACTTTAGCTATCCAAACTAAGTATTTTCCATAAATTCACTAATTTGTCTTTCTTTTTAGGACAAAGAGTAACCTTACAAATCCCTCAAGAATTATACCCCAAATTCTTGAGAACACTCTCTCCCAAAGAGAACGGTACAAATTTTGCAAACTTACAAGAAAATCCTCACAAGGAAAGATGTTTGCACAATTCTAGAACAAAGAAATAACACTCAAGAATAATACAATTGATAACAATAAGTGTTCTTGAAAGCAAAGATGAATATTGAATGAAATTTGACTTGAAATTGCTCAAACTTGAGGTTTGATGATTTCTCTTTGATTCTCTCTTGATTCTTAATTCTTGTTATTGATCAATGGCTCCAAAGCTTATTTAAATAATCCTTCAATTGATTCTGAACGTTGGGGATGATTAGTTGAGTCAATAGAGTCGTTTAAGTGTGAAAACAATTAATAAAATCAGTTGGGAGCATGTGTGCATCGATGCATAGTAAAGGTGCATCAATACATCAAGTGTAAAATTCAAATATTTCGACTGTTGGCTGTCCAAGTGCATCGATGCACCAGGGTGTGCATCTGTGCATAAATCAGCTTTGATGTTTCAAAATAGCCAAACTGCATCGATGCATGGTTTGTGCATTGGTGCATAAATTGCATTCGAAATGGGTATGCATTGATGCATCGAATGAGTGCATCTGTACATCCCTTCATAAAATTGATTTTTGGCTCGTTTTTGGTTCGAAATACTTTGTGAAAATTGTTTCAAAAATACTTTAAGTATAAAACACAATTTTACACTTCACTAAGGATTAAAATTGAACTTTGAAAGACTTGGATTAGTATTTAGATATTCAATTAATTAAATCGAATATACTTAGAAAATCATTTGGAAAATCTTAAAAATTCATTTAAACTTAATTTGTTATATTGAAACATCAAAATGTTTTCAACAAAAACAAAGTAGGGTTCCAGCGTCACGAATGCACAACTTTACAAGGACTCGCGACCTATTTATACCAATTTTGTTAACTGCCACATAAACACTTCCGTTAAATATTAACGGTAGGTGGCTATATTGAAATCATTTAAATAGTTCAATGGTCATATTGACACAAATTTAAAAATGATGGTCATTTCGCGACCCAATCTATAGTTAGGTGGTCATTTATGTAGTTTACCCAAAAAGAAAATAATATCTAAAATTAAAAAAGTTAAAGTGAAAATATTTTATGTCATCACTGTATTAGTAAATTAATGGGGGAGTGATTAAAAAAAGATTAATGTACAAAACTCAATTATTAAATAAAATAATTTTTAATTTGAGTGATAAAAATAAGAGTAAGTATAAAGTTGAGTAATATTTCTATACTTTACCTAAATTTTAAGGTTTAATATAAAAATAAATACCTAAACTATACTCAAAATTAATTTTTAGTGTATAAAGAACTTTTCGTTAAAAATAGTTTTTTTTTAAAAAAATTTAGACGTGAACGTGTCACTTAACATATTTTTTTTAACGGTATGCACCTAAAAGTGTAATGGAGAAAAATTTAGGCACATATTTTTAGCGAAAAATTCTTTAGACACAAAAAAAAATTTCGAGGCATAATTTAGATACTTATTTTTGTATTAAGCCAAATTTTATATATGAAAAAAAGCTACCTTACAACATTTTCAATCAAAAAGTAAAAAGATTAAAGTGGGAAAAAATATATAATTTAAAGACTTAATAATAAATTAAGCCAAAATAAAAAACAAAATAATATTATATAAACTTAAAAGAATTATTTTGTTATAAATATTTGTTTATGTGGATATCTATTATAATTAAAACACTATGTATTAAATAAAAGTTTGATATACTTAATTATACAAAATTTAATATTTATTAGGATTAAAATTATACATGATATTTATCATTTACGTATGTAAATATGAAGTTTATAAAAAATATTATATGTAATTTAGATTGAGATAATAACACAAAATTTTTCGTTATTTTTTTATTTTTTTCTTATGTTAGTAAAAGGTGACACCCGTATTCAAACCTCAAAGTCATCGGTTCTCTCTCACCATTATTATATGCAGTGGCGGAGCCACGGCTGGTCATGATGGGTGTAAAATTCGAATTTTTTACGATTAGTTATTTGTTAATAGTGTTTACTTTGAAAATTTTTGTGTGCGTCTTAAATTTTGAATTTTTTTTCGATTAGTTACTTATTTTATGGACGGTGCCCATTTTAAAATCATATTTATATCTGTTCCATTTAAAAATTTTATATTGTTAAGATACACGTATGTCACTCTAAAATAATATATTTATGGATCAACTGATTAGATGCCCCAGCCGAAAGGGAGGAAATTTTTTTTCCTCACTCCCAAAACAAAATGACGTAAGATTTGTCCACAAGTCATATAATTTGGTCCCTCGGCACCCACTATAAGGCATAAGCTAAGAAGCTACATAGTAATTTCTTCCTACCTTTTTTCATCTCCCAATCACGCAACTTCCTTCGTTGGCATGACTCTTAGGCCCTTTAATTTGCTTACACATTAATTAATCTGCATAGCCAATGTGAAATAGTAGGGTAAATTCTGACCAAAACAGTTACTCTTTTTTACTATATAAATATCCTATACCATATATGTACATAATAGAGAATATTAGATGGTTTCCATGGGAATTCTTAGAATTTCAAACCCTTCAAAATGGTTCTCCAACAAGGGTATTTGGTTAAGTCTTCCTCGCTTTCGCTCGAAATTGAAATCAAAATCCTCAACCTCGCTGCTTCTGTCGCCGCCGAGCATTCCTCCACCAACGCTACTTCGTAACACTACTAGAGAAGAAGAGCTCCAAGTAGTTTTTCGTCAGTTCGACAACAATGAAGATGGGAAGATTTCGAGTGAGGAGCTCAGTGCTTACTTGACTTCGATAGGAGACAATGTATCGGAAAACGAAGTGCGAAGGGTTATCGAAGATTTCAATGATAATGGGGACAACCTACCGGGATTCAAGGAGTTTATTAAGTTGCTGGAAGGAGGCAACGAAGGCGATGATGATATTAAAAGAGCGTTCGAGATGTACGAGGTGGATAAAGGTTGTGGGTGCATCACACCGGTGGGATTGCAGCAGATGCTCGGTCGTCTTGGGGATGCGAAATCGTACGAAGAGTGTAAAGCCATGATTGGGGTGTTCGACCTTGATGGCAATGGAGCGCTTGACTTCCATGAATTTCAGCATATGATGAGAGGTGAACAATATACAAACAAAAAATATATATAATTAGAGTCTATAAGTCAATCATATCGAATTTTGAGATAAATTCCAAACAACCTTTCTTCTTCCTTTTTAAAAAAAATATGTATGGGAGGTATAATACTTACTGACGAATATCTACATCAATTTGAAATATCTATATTGAGTATGATATATTTGTGTGTGTGAGAGAGACTAAATATTGAGTATGATATATAAATATTAAATGTTATTTGAAGTAAATAACATATGATATTTGTCCTTCATAAACCAATAATAGTTTACATGATAATTTTATTTATTGCGATAATATTTTTTTTTAATTTTTTATTAAAATGTAACTCAAATAATATTATTGATCAAAATGGTATTTGACAAAGACGTGTTCACGTGAAAGTGATTTTGCTTACATGACAGGACCATCTGGGTAATTTCTCCCATGCTGATGTCACTCAAGACCAAAATGAAATAAATAAAAAATAATGAGTCATTCCATGCTTTTGAACTCAACGAGTGTTTGGGCCTTATCTTTTCATTTTGACCAAACACTTGAGTTATTGAAGATAAGGCACAAGCCAACCGTATAGCGACGACAACGCAAGTGGTTGGGCCTTATCTTCAATAACTCAATGAGTGCATTTTTAGAAAAATATATTTAAACACCGTAAAAGGTCCCCATATAGAAACAATGTAATATTTGAAAAAATCATGGTAAAAATTTATCATTTTTGAGTTATCAAATGCAATTCTTAAAATTAATCAGATTCATATCCATATTCAATACCGTGTATTGATGTGGCCCACTAACGGAAGAAGTCATTCCATGCTTTTGAACTTTTTGTCCGAGATTCCAAGTCACGGACAAGAAAATAATACTTGAAAGATAAAAGAACGTCAAAAGAGAAGAAGAGAAAAATCCGATAACAAGGAAATAGTTGTAACGCATATATTGGTATAAAGCAATTGAGTCGAAACGTTATATACAGAAGACAGGCACCTGACCTAGCAAAGAAATTGAGGGTTGAAATGAAAGCTTGAATTGGAAAGCATATATGTAAGACAAATTAGAAATCAGTTTTAGTTTGGATTGGAAGTTACATATACGTACAAAATGATCATGCAATGGTAATCGGTGTTGAAGTGTTAATTTCAAAAGGAGGAAGGAATTTTTGGGGCAGGAGATAGCGGCCTCGGCTACTGTTTGAGGAGTTTGAAGCAAAGGTGGGCTCTCACCGGCTTATGGTCCGAGCTATAGATGTCATCCACTGATTCGTAACAGTGCAAAGTTGCTGCAATTTTGTCAGGGTCTTGGATCTTGAACAATATCCTATCAGTCCATGATGGAACTCGTACCTATCAAAAGGAACCCATTTTTCAAAGATGAGCTCTGTATATTGAACGTGACAGAGAGAGAGGGCATAATTTATCACCTTGTAACTTGTATCGTAATTGCTACTTCCTATATTATATTTATAGGTTGGTTTGAACGAAAGTGTTCCCTCACAAAATCCATTGAAAATGTGGCCTCTTTCAGCCTCCTGGAGGAGCTGATCTTTGCTTCTCAGCAGCTGCAAACGGCAGTAAATAAAGGGAGAATGGAGTTGTTGCAAATAAAAATGGATGGAATTGAGAAAATGGGGGTTACTTTGTGAAGGTCCCTTTGTATTAAGCTTCGGGCGGGATGTGTGTTAATGCCTCGGAGCCTGTAATTGAGGTCTCCTAACCATACGGTTATGTGTGCGGGCTTGGCGTCTGGGTTCCAATCCTTGGCAAATAGAGAGTGCGCTATGTGTCTGCACTCTGAATTCCTCTCTTCTACATTTCCACCATGGGCTGTTTCAAGTCAATCCAATCAATGAAGTTAATTTCTCCGTTAAGTGACACGTGTCACTATCCTGTAATTTTAAAAATTTGATTTAAAAGTTAAAAGTTAAAAAAAATAAATTTATATATTTTTTTAAAAAAACATAAAACTTTTGAAATAACTCCAAAACTTTGAAAACCTTCATTTTAACCCTCTAAAGCCATGCCGACCATCACCCTTTGTTGTAGATGAAGCTCCACCCGACCTCATCTCCCCCAGAGACAAAAACCCCTATGAAATCGTGACTGATCGACGTTATATAACCCGCGAACCCTAGGATGAAAATCGTGACCCCACACGATTCCGACGGCCAATCGGTTGCAACTACAATGGGGTATGACTAGGAGGATGACAAAGACTATGTCTACGGCGTATGACTAGGAGGATGGTAGAAACTACTCCAGTGGCGGTGGTCGTGGTCGGAAAGTGTGGCGGCAACGGATTAAGGTTAGGATTTAGAGATTTTAGGGATTTTGGGACTTTTTATAATTAAAGAGAAATTAGTATTTTTTTATAAATACAATAATATTTTTAATAATTAAAAAAATCAAAATCACCATATTATGACATGTGTCACTTAACGGAAAAAACTAATGCCGTTGACGGTCCGGACACCTAAAGTAGTAATATTTGTAACGTTAGACACCGGAACGAGTTAAAAAAATACTTTAGGTACCTATTCGTGAAAAGCGGTATAGTCGGGGCACTTATTTTATATTTAAGCCCTAAAATAATCATAAGATATAGATCGATCCAAGTGCAATCAACCTAGCTCACACGGCTCTGTTGTATTTGTGGGCGGCCTTGTTTAAGGAAACTTTGCCTTGTTACATAGGCTTTGAGTCCCATTAATGATTTGGACTCATATTTGTGAGGTTAAAGATGCTGATAATTGAATAAAACATGGGTTACCAGAGAGATGGCAAGTGACAAACACCATTCTGAATCCTTTGTAGTTGATACTGATTGCCACTGCCCCTTTCTTTCTCCTCATCATTCCTCCACATCCCTCCAACAGAATGCTTATCCACTTTAAGTTCAATATTTTCTATGAACAAAAACAAATCAGTTACTCCATCTAAGGTACAATAAGGGGGGGAATGACAGACTCTAACCTCTGATGAACAAGTCCGAATTCTTTGGCCCGAACACATATAGTTGCAGAGACTGCATAGTGGCCTTCCCTAACAATCTGCTATATTTGTATTATATGCCAGATTAAATGTGAAGCCTTATTAGCATTTACAAACAAGGCAAGAAAGAAAGAGTTGTTTATCTTACTAGTGAGTTTCACTTAGAGCATCCTGCAATAATCGTGCAAGGTTCTTTCGAGGTACTTCTTGCAAGCCAATCACCAGTAGATCAGATCTCCGGTTGCCCCCCAGCAGCTCCACCAGATCTTCATACGAAACCTTAATTAATTAGAGGAGTACATGTATTATTAAACTGAAAGATGATTAAAAAGAATCATTAAGATGACAAGAATCGATTAATTTAAACCTGTCCATTCATGTTCCAAGTTACTACGCAGATGCAAAGGTCGGAGTTCCTTGAGAAGTCGCAGAGATTATCTGCCCTCACTGTCTTTATTCCATCATGAATCCCAGCTGGTTTTCTCTTACACTTGGATCTTTTCCTGCGAAAACTAAGACCAATACTCAATCAATAATGCCGGTTGTAATTGCAGAAGATTCTTCACGTACCCTTTAGCGGCATGTATTGTGTTGAAGTTCCCCATAATTAACTTCCCTTTGTAGATCTGGTTAAGATCACCATATAAGCAGCAAACTATAGAAATATTTCTCATGGCTAGATAAGAGAAAGATATGGGATTTAATATAAATACGAAATTTTTCTTGTGCTTTTGGCGGCGAAGAAGATTTGAGAGGATGCATAAAAGTCAAATAGTCTGAAATCCTCATCATTGATCCCTTAATATTTGAAAACTATGTCAAATTTTCTGTACGAGTTAGGTTTGGCGTTTCTGACGATAGATGGTTATATAATCAAATTTGAAAACCACAATGTTTACCCATATCTAATAATCAATCCATCGATTGAAGCTAAAGGTTTCAACGACAATAATTAGGTAAAATAGAAAATGTCGACTAAAGGCTGCTAAATATTCTTTTTGATGTATTTGATACGATACCTATAATTGCAGAATATAATCTCTTAAATGTATATACAAATATTAAGAAAATACATTTATTTATATTATAAACATCCCAATTTCCAAAACCCGAAAATCAAGTGCAGCATGCAGTAGCATCGCTAAGCACAACACGCAACTCAGATAAGCTGTAAGGTTTTAGGTTAATTATGAGAATGCAGTTTTCCAAGTAGAAGTTTCTACGTTGCTGAAACTGTTGAGTCATTTGAACCGTTTATTTCTTTTTGTTTGCGCGAAAGAACACATTATCCAGAAGATGTGATCCATTTACTTTGCTTGTAGGTTTATCTAACTTGCAACACCGTCCATAAATACGACTACTACATTTTCAAGTGTCATGTGCTACATTTTTTTCATTTAAAAATATAATTTTTTCATCAATATATTTGTTATAATTATGGAGATATAACTTCATTTCCAGAAATATAATTTTACCGTCAACATATTAAAAAGGCAATCTTTGCGAGGATACAATGAAAACCAAAAATACTCTTTAAACTTTTATTAAGACTTTGGCAAATTCGCGGATTTATTAGGATCAAACCTGTCAACTAATGACTGTGTTTATATATTTTGTTTGTAGATCTGATACACATCAGTATATAAATCCCAATGACAAACAGAAGGAGAGACTTCTTCTGAAACTTTGAAGTATCTTCCAGCCATCATCACTACTTATCCATCATTGTTTGGTTATCGACGATGATTCTTCACTTAAGTTAGAAAGAATAAACCACCTAAATCAAAAGAAATGAACTGCCCACAATCGAAATAACTCCTTGTTTCAATCAATAATTAATGCAGTGAGTATGGAACATGTTCTGACGGAAAAGAATCCATCGAGATGAAATAATCTATCTCCTACTCAAACCATCCCATGTAGATCCATAACATGTCAACCTGTTAAAAAATTTGCTAATGTCGTTCTTACGTTTGTGGAAGGTGATATGCACAGATGACGCATCGATGATGATGTACTCATAGAGACATCAGTTAGATCCAAAAATATTTTTAATTGAACATCCAAAAATACCTTTTAAATCTAAAATAACAATAATAACAATTCTTAAAAGAATTCAAAATCAACCGATAAATTTAATATTTTAATGGTCTTGATGATTGCATAAGGCACAATAGTAATAATAGTAAGACGATCAAACGATGTTAAATTAAAACATGTGAACTAAATTCTAAGTATAGAAGAGAGATTAAATTATGTATTTCAACCAGGGTTGTAAATGAGATAAAACAAATCGCGAGCTATTCGAGATCGACTAGGTCAAAGTTCGATAAATACTTGACTTGAATGGGCTCGACTCAAGTTCTTAACGAGCCAAAATGAGTTACTTGATGCTCGACTCTAAAAGCTCATGAGCAGCTCAAAATTATAATATATTAAGATTTTATTTTTTAAATAAATTATTAATAATATTAACATTTATATTGATTTTTTAATATAGTATAAGATTTTCATGTATTTAGGGTGTGTTTGGTTCACGGAATGTAAGATTACTAGTGAGAATAAAATATTACCAGGGAATAGGATTACTGGGAATGTTGTATTTTGTATTTGGTTGGTTTAGCATGAATGTAAGATTATCGTGTTTGGTTAAAGGAATAAAAGATTATTGGAATGTATATTTGACAAAATTGTCCTTATTATATATTTGTATAATATTACAAATTGTAAAATATTTATATATTTTCTTTAAAAAATTAAATTCATAATATTTATATAAATTTTTTTACAAAATTAAAAATATAAAAAAGGTTTAATGAAAGGGTAAAAAAAATTTTAATCCCTGAACTTCATATAAAATTTTAATTATAGATTTTTTTTTTTTTGTAAATCTAAAATAATTTAAGGATAAATTTGTAATTTAACATTCGTAGAATTTTTATTATTCAATGACAGAAGAATGATGTTTTTGAAAAAAAATAAAAATTTAAGGGTATTTTAATCCAAAACGTCGGTAATGTTATAATACCTAAGGGAAGGGAGGTAATGACATTCCCGGTAATATACCCCAAAAAATCTACTATTAATAATAAACATTACCGGGAATGAGATTCTCGGCCAACCAAACATGAGAATGTGAGATTCTCATCCCATGGGATGAGAATCCTTGAACCAAACACCCCCTTAAGGTTCATGTTCAAATTTGAGTTTGAGGCTTCAATCGAGTTAAGTTTAAGATATTTTTATTTCGAGCCTTTTCGAACTTTTACGAGCTTCAGTTCATGATTTCGTGTTCGAATCAAACTAAAAAATTTTAAACTCACGAGTTTTCAAGTAGAGTCGAGTTTCTTTTCAAAGCTTTCGAATTAAGCCGATCTCCATTTCAAAATTTTTAAATCGAGCCGAACTAACAATATACTAGCTCAACTAATCTGTTTTACGGCCTAATTTCAACGTGCAAGATAACACTTCGACGTGTTAGTAAATAAATGATTTGGGTATTATCGTCTAATTCATTTTTACGTTATCCTTTCCCAGCTCAGCTACTGTGCTTCTCTCTCAACAGGGTCACTAAAAATTCTCTCATTTGCAACCATTAAAATTAGGGTAAAGTATAGTAATGGTCACTGAACATTTTTGAAGCTTGCATTTAGGTCCCCCAAATTTTAAAACTTGCAATACAGTCCCCCAACATTTATTCCGTTTGCAATATGGTCCCCCAACTTAAACTACCGTTAGAAATTAGGGTAAATTATATAAAAGGTTATTTAACTTTTCAAACACTTGAATTTAGGTCCTCCAACTTTTAAAACTTGCAAAACAGTCCTCAATTTCATTCTAAACCCCAATTTCCAAAGTAATTCAATTTCATTCTAAACCCTAAATTCCAAAATAATTCAATTAAATTCAATTATGTCAGATTTATTATTATTTAATTTCATCTTATTTCATGTGATACGTATTTTTATATAATATAATAGTATAATTCTTATCTGTTGAAGAAATTTTTAATTAAAAAAGTAGTTAGGATATAGAAGAGGTTGAAAATAATTCGAATTTTAAATTTATAAAATGTTATTTTGACGTATAAATAAAAGTGTAAACTACTAGGTTGACAACTTAACTATCTAGCCCTTTTTACTTTTGTCATCGATCTTTTAAATTTATCAATCATACAACATAATTATTTAACTGTTTCAACTAAGCCACTAGTCGTTACCAATTGATACAAATGATGAAGTGGCAGTTAAAAGGAATTGACATTATTATACATTCAGTCTTTATTATTTATATAATCAATTTGGTCCTAAATTAAATAGAATTTAATAAATTAATCATTTAATTAGGATCTGACATGTGTTAGCACATGATCATGACACGTGTCATTGGTGACACATGTCACCACCTAATTATTTATATATGCTATCAATTTGGTCCTAAATTAAATAAAATTTAATAAATTAATCATTTAACCAGGATCTGACATGTGTTAACACATGATCATGATATATGTTATTGGTGACACATGTCACCACCTAATTAGAAGAAAATTAAGTTACAAAGAAGTAAAATTGGGTCTTGGGCAAACTCAAACCTGAGTCACGCAAATGAAAGATACAGGGTAGAGCCACTAAGCTAACACCATCGTTTGTGTTAAGAGATATACAATAATACATATACTAATAGTATGACCAATGCTAGAAAAAAAAGAATATAATGGAAAATGGAAATAATGAGATTTGAACTTTGGCAAAAAATTTGAAAGCAATAAATGATGGGAAAATATTATATTTTTTTACAATAAAAAATATTATATTTGATAAATAGTTTGATAGATTTAATATATTTTTTAAATATTAGTTGATACAATATTTTAAAAGAATAAATTTAAGATTTATATATTTTTAAACTAAATTTAAGATTTATATATTTTTAAACTAATTTTAATAATTATATTTTTCATATTTATAATTCATGATTATATATATAATCTTAAGTTGAGTATTTCTATATAATTAATAATTTAATTTCTTATTAAAAATAAAATATTCAAAAATAAATGATTCATACATTAATATGAATATTTTTTTATTTATACATCTAAATATAATATACATTTATATAAATATATTTTTATTCGTATATTGAAATATTTTGATTAAAATATAAACATATTTTAAATACTAGTTTATACAAGAAAAATAAAATATATCAAAAATATAAATGATTCATACATTTAAATATAAATTGAATCATTTATATTTTCTATACATCTATATTTAATAAGAAAATAAAATTATTGGGGGACAGTTTTGCAAGTTTTAAAAGTTGGGGACCTAAATTCAAGTGCCTGAAAAGTTCAATGACAGTTTATATAATTTACCTTAATTTTCTAACAGTGATTTAAGTTGGGGACCATATTATAAACGGAATAAATGTTGGGGACTGTATTGCAAATTTTAAAAGTTGGAGGACCTAAATGCAAACTTCAAAAATGTTCAGTGACCATTACTATACTTTACCCTTAAAATTATTAGGGAGGAAAATGGCTCTTTCGATTTCTTCCCTAGCATCATCTCTTTCTTCTCTCTCGTTTTCCTCTCGGATTTCCCGGAATCCAGACAGCATTTCAATTTCCCAACCACCGAAAACCCTCCCCATTTCTTTCTCCTCCAAAACCACCCGTTCCCTCTCCATTGCCGCCACTGTGGCAGCCCCAGCCGAAGCGGAACCGGTTGAGAACCTCAAGAAGTACGTTAAGTCCAGGCTCCCTGGTGGGTTCGCTGCTCAGACTATCATAGGGACGGGCCGTCGGAAATGTGCCTTTGCTCGCGTGGTTCTCCAGGAAGGCTCTGGAAAGTTTATTATCAATTACCGTGACGCTAAGGAGAAATTGAACTCTTAACCTCTTGGTGATCCAGTTGTCTTTCAGATGTTTGATAATATGTCTGTGTTGGGCTAATTGCAGTTGTAAAATAAAAAATTTAAGACCCAATGACAACCTTGGGAGTCTGATTATCATTACCAGAAATAGTTTGATGCAGGAGTATCTTCAAGGGAACCCATTATGGCTGCAGTACGTAAAAGTTCCATTGGTGACATTGGAGTATGAGACGAGTTACGATGTATTTGTGAAATCACATGGAGGCGGCCTTTCAGGACAGGCTCAGGCAATCTCTCTGGGCATTGCTCGTGCGTTGTTGAAGGTGAGTGCGGACCATAGGCGCCCTTTGAAGAAAGAAGGGCTTTTGACCAGGGACTCCAGGGTGTTGGAGAGGAAAAATGTTGGGTTCAAGAAGGCTCGTAAAGCTCCTCAGTTTTCCAAACGTTAGGTGGTTGGGGACTTGGATCATACGTTTCTCTCATGCTTGGTTTTTACACGATCATTTCTCAGTAACTTTTCCTTATGAATTCTTGAAAATTTTCTAAATTTAGATCCCTTTTTTAATGTAGATCTTATTCTTCCTGGATGCTTAAGAACATTCAGCTGCATTTGTAGTTTCTTCCCCTGTAAGTGAGTAATATTGTTAATTTCAGTATATATTTCATTTTGCTGATTGAAAAGTAAAGTCACTGTCTTTAGTTTCGTTTGTTTTTCTCATTTATACACTGATTTGGTCGTTGGCTCTGTCACGCCCTCAGAACCTTCAAGCTCAAACTATCGAAATATCAGAGTTAAGGTCTGACGGGTCATGCGGCCTTAGACACTTCTTGACGCTTCTGGGTTTTTTCTGCGACTAAGTAATCTTTACCCAAGCCTAGTGAGCATGCAAACTCACCAAGGCTGGAACCAAGCCCTGAAGGCTTCTAGGATTGCGAAGGCTTTAACACCAACATGGCTACTCCAAGCCACCAAGGTTGGACTATTGTGTGGAAGTGCAAAAAGCAAGTGTGGCTACTTCTGGCCACCAAGATAGGCAACAACACTAAGAGAATAAAGAACAAAGAATACTGAAAGTAGAGTAAATGCCTCAGAGCTTTATTACTCTCCAAAGAGAATGAATGAAATGGATGAATACGAACGAGGATGCGAGACTCTCTATTTATAGTTGAGCTCCCTCTCAATCAATTGCCAAAATCGTTTTACATCAACGGCTAAGATCTGCCCAATTAATTCTAAATCTCCTAAATCAAGGAATTATAACTCAATCCTATCTAATTACATCCATTAGTAGGATTTTTTCCTTGGATAGGTGTTCACACCAGATATAGTAAGATTCTCCCATAATATCTTCTTGATTTTGTTGTCTCTTGCCATATATATCGAGCTTTTGTGATCATCTTCGGATTTGATGCCACTTTCCTTTTCTGCACGACCAATGTGAACGGGCTCCACAACATTCTCCAAGTGATGGGCCAAGTCTGGTGACCTTGGCAATCCCGATACTCTATCTTGAACCTCTTTGTCGGAAACTTGCACCAATGTCTCGGACCCAAGTTCATAGCCTGTGACATTCTCCCCCATCGAACCTAGCGAAGCCCTCGTCACTGCACTCGACAATCCTGGGCAACATCACCTTGGATAATTCTCAATGCCTTGGCTTGTTGCAGTCTTCCCATACGAACTCATTGCCTTGGCTTCTACCGCATGTAACTTCATGATCTCTCATGCCATATTTCACATCAACTTAGTTGCCTTTCGATGCCTATACTTGCTCACCATCCTCCCCCATAAGGACTCGACCTCCCCATAAAGGTTGTGCTTGCTTTGGCTCTTGCCGCCAAGTGATGAAATGGGCTAGCACGCCCACAAGTGCATCTCTATCGTAGGAACCCTTTCCTACAAGTCTTGATTTGTCTCATCTTGGATCCCCTCCAAATTTTGTTTTCTTCGCGCAAAAGGTTAGTTTTTACTCGACCTACACTTACTAAAGACAACAAATCAAACTCAAAAGAACACTAGATAGTGTTGAGATGTACCTTTCCCTCTCATTTTGTTGCCATTTACTCAAAAATGCATCAGCCCTTCTTACTCCATAAAGTTTGACACTCCTTGCATTGAACCCTTTTCATTAGAGTTCTTTGCATCACCATGCATTGGCACTTTCTCACGGAAAAGTTTGATGACCCTTTTTGCCTCATTCCTTCTAACACGAAGGTTGGAGGTCACTTCCTACCTTGCAAATGAGTAGTTTCTCCATGGTTGCCTTGTCCCTCAACGTCTTAGCCCCCCTTGACTTTTGTCTACTAGTCTATGAATGATTGTTCTTCACTTGAACATCCTCGGTAAGCCCCTCATTCGACCCTTATCTTATGATGGTCTCTGAAGCTATGTTCTCTACACATGCTCGACTAACTCCTTGGACATGGACAACTCTTTCTGCACTTAACTTCCTCTCACCTTGGCAGAAACAAACCTTATTGAGCCAAGTCTCAACACCTCTTCGATCTTGGGTTCTTCATCTTCTCTAGACAACTCGATCCTAGGCTCATCCATCATCTTGGATGACTTGGCTCCCCTAGGGTAATCTTGCAACACCTTTGGCATCTTAATCTGACCCTTTGCTTGCTCAATTGTTACCATAAGCTTAGCACCTTTGAATTTTGAAATTGTGCCAAGTCTGCGCACATCTTCCCCAAACTCACCTTCTGGTTCATAATTGAGTGGACTTTCTCTGCCACTCGAGGAACAACATTCCTCATCCTTTGGCTTACCTTCATTACGGATTCCCTTGCCAGTACCCTCGGTTTTTTGCTTTATTTTGGAAGTCTTGCTCTTCTTGACTCCAAATTCTTTGATGGAATCAGTGGTTGTCAAGGCTTTAGACAACTCCTTAACTTCCCTTCGCTCCAACACTTTTTTCCCATGGGTTCAATCCAAACATGAAGGTGAAGAACCCATATTCTTCAATCAAACTCGGGACTTTGAGCATGAGTTTTCTGAATCGGCTCACATACTCCTTAAGTGCCCCTTTATGCATAAGACGCCTCAACTTGGACCACACCTATATCCTGGCATACTGTGAGTGAACTTGCTCACTTTGCACCCTCGGCTTGATGGCTTTATCTTTTGCTATCGCACCGAGTCTCTTCATGTGCTTGACTGGTTTGACACCTACAGTCTCGTCACATCTCGATCCTGGATTGGTTTCTTGAGAACTTGTAGTCACACCATGCTTGCTCCTTGATTCGACTACTTTGGAACATGTAGTATCACCAAGTATTTCTCCTGACTTGATTGCTTAGACACTAGCAATCATATCGGTCTTTCCTTTGGGTTCGACTGTATCAACATCAACAGTCGTACCTCGTCTTGTTCCTTGCTTGACTATATTGACCCCCTCAATCGGACCAAGTCTTTTCTCTGGCTTGACAGCTTTAACACTTGCAACCGCGCCAATTCCCTGTACTTCTCCTTCTCCCATCCTCTTCATGATGATTGCAAGGCGACGCTTCTCAGGACATCCTCTAATCAAGTGAGGACCATCACAGAAGTATTACTTGAATTTCTCATTGCTCGCATTCTTCTTCACATCGGACTTAGCCTTGCCATTTTTTCCCGATGGCTTTCCTCGGCTACGAACAATCGATGGCTCACATTGGCCATTGAAAGAGCTTTTCTACCATCTCCCAGCTGCACCTTTTCCTGGTCTCCGCCATTATTGCCATTATCCCTAGGCATGAGCCTGGACGACACAACGCTAGTTGGCTTATCTCCCTAGGCATCACCCCTAGTCTAAGTCTCTCCAAGAAGGTCTTGAGCGCACCATTCACTCATTGCTCTCTTGCATATGATCATCTCCTTCTTGAGCTCATCCACCTTATTTCTCAGAGCCATCACCTTGGCTTCATGGACATTACTCCCTCGAACCATCTCCAACTCATTGAGAACTCAGTGCGTCTCGTCCTTGAACCTGTCCTCCATGGACCCCAATTTATCAAGGCGGGACTTAATAACACCCTGGGTCTCCTTGGCCTATTCCTCGGCTTTTTCAAGTCCTCGACCCTTTTTTCCCATGAAATTGAGATTGCTCCAACTTGATAAACCTCTTTGTGTGGAAAGCCAAATCTTCCATCAAATAAGCACGTTTCTCGTAGATTATCAGTTTCTCATCAAGACTCTCCTCATCTTCATGAGTGGACATGTTGTCTTTCTCGAACATGCCTTGAGATTCACCTTTGAGCCTCTATACCTCGAGATCCAACTCATTTTGGTGTACTTTCACCGCCTCAAGGATTTCTTGCGAACTCATCATTGCATTCCCATGCTTGAACACCAACGATGCTCTCGAACCCATCAGACTCTCTTCCCATTTCCCACTATGGCACTCTTTACTTTTGTATGCGGAAACTCCTTTTCTCTAATACCCCATCTAGCTCAATTCACCCTTGACTAGCTCAAGCGCAAATTTTTTCCAACTCAATTACCAAAGTAAATTAATTGAACAGTTAGTAAATCAAACTTACCCGGTTTCGCACCTTCCACCAAACACAAATGAAACGATCATTGTTTGCCCACAATGACTTACTCTGATACCACTTGTCACGCCCTCAGAACTTTCAAGCCCAAACTATCAGAATATCAGAGTTAAGGTCTAATGGGTCGTGCCGCCTTAGACGCTTCTGGGTCTTCTATGTGACTAAGTAAGCCTTACCCAAGCCTAGTGAGCAAGCAAACTCACCAAGGTTGGAACCAAGCCCTCAAGGCTTCTAGGATTGTGGAAGCTTTAGCACCAACGTGGCTACTCCAAGCCACCAAGATTGGACTATTGTGTGGAAGTGCAAACACAAGTATGACTACTCCTGGCCAACAAGATAGGCAATAACACTAAGAGAATAAAGTAAAAAGAACATTGAAATTAAAGTAAATGCCTCAGAGCTTTATTACTCTCTAATGAGAATGAATGAAATGGATGAATACAAATGAAGATGAGAGGCTCTCTATTTATAGTTGAGCTCCCTCTCAATCAATGACCAAGATTTTTTACATCAACGGCTAAGATCTGCCCAATTAATTACAAATCTCCTTAATCAAACAACCCAATCCTATCTAATTACATCTATTAGTAGGATTCTTTCCTTGGATAGGTGTTCACATCGGATATGGTAAGATTTTCCCACAATATCTTCCTGATTTTGTTGTCTCTTGCCATATTTACCGATCTTCTGTGATCATCTTCGGATTTGATGCCACTTTCCTTTTCTGCATGGCCAATATGAACGGGCTCCACAACATTCTCCAAGTGATGGGCCAAGTCTGGTGATCTTGGCAAGCCCGATACTTTATCTTGAACCTTTTTGTCAGACACTTGCACCAATGTCTCAGACCCAAGTTCATAGCATGTGACAACTCTAATGACGGTGAATAGGAGCGAGGCTTACTGTATGCTCATTGATGTGCAACCGAATAGAGCAAAGAAAAAGAAAATTATTAATTTTATTTAATTGGGGTAATTTTGAGGGTTGAAGAGATTATCCATTCCACTGCAACATCAAGGAAGATTGGTTATGAAAACAGATTAACTCCACTGCCATTTCATGAAAGATGGATATGCAAATTGATATACTTCATTACAATTTCAAGAATGTCAGATATAAAATATAAAAAAATTTAATTCACTCCATTACAACTTCAAAGGAAAGTTAA